ACCCACTCCCCCTGGGGGAGGCTAGCCTGGCCCCCCCCAGGGTGTGTGGGCCTGCCCCCAGGGCGCACGGTGCATGCACGGGTCCACCTCGGGGTGCCAAAATGGCTCGGGCTGGCCCTGTCTATGAATAGGCAGCTGGGGTACATCCATCTTGACATTCACCAATACTGTTTAACATTTTATGCTACATCTACCCTGCAGGCTTCTTGCTCAAGAGTTCTTGTGCAAAAGATCTTGTTCAAGAGCACGTTCACACTGCCATGTGCTTTTGTGCAAGAGCATCTGTGACAGTGTGGATGCTCTCTTGTGCAAGAGGGCCTATTTATCGTAGGGAGAGGAATAACTCTTGTGCAAGAAGCCGTCTTTTCCTATGCTTTACTGTAAATTTACTTGCGTAAGAACGCGTGTGCAGTGTAGACTCTCCGCGAGCAAAAAGCCTGTAGTGTAGACATAGTCTCAAAGTTTAAATGAGTACAGTAGTTCTAGAAACAAACTGAGCAGATGTAACACTCCTTTGTCACAACTAGAATTGTGTTTTGATTGGAGCACAAAACTTGCTTGGAGTCAGTCTCCCAGGATTTTATAATACTAAATTATAACACTTAATCTTTTGGTGCCTCAGTTTACTTGTTTAAAATACTTCTCTATTACTGTATTAAGACATTTAATTAATGTTTAGGGAGGGCCAGATTATCTCCCACTGTTATTCATACTTAGTAGTGCTTAGTCCCATAGAATGGCTTGTGGAGTTAACATAATAAAGTATTGCTTTGTACGAGTGAGTGGCAATGTGTGGTTCAAACTAATTTGAATTCCTCTTATGTAAGTGCAAAGTATTGTTTACTAAGGGAAAATTTTAGCCAGAGTGACAAACGCGTTCCCTGTCCATTAAGCTCTGCTTAGAGGCTATGCAGGGAATCTGCTAGTAGAGTGACCATACATGGATGCAGTGCACATCTCATATACCACAGAAACAGAAAGGCTATATCTACACTCGCGGTTTCTTGTGCTAGAAATATGCAAATGAGGCTGTGGGGAATATCGTTGAGCCTCATTTGCATACCTAATTAAATTCATTACTTTAGTTTCTTTTGGAACTTGAATGTAGGGAGGCTGACATGGGTAATCCTTCCTGAAATTCCTTGCAGACCGAACTCTGGGTCTCCTGTACTGAGGTCGAGTGGGATTTTTTTTAAGACACTAGAGAAGGGCAGTGAAGTCTAGCCCACCCAGGGTTACACAGGCAAAGTCTATTGCACTCTGAATAGGAGAATCAAATGAATAGGACCTGTACGTATATAAAAAACTTAGGATCTTGTCTCCTTCCAAAATCTGCCGCTTCCATGATCTACAACAGTGGTCACCAACCCGTTGCTCATGATGAACTGGTTTGGTCCTGGAGCCTCTGCTGGCCCATCATGATCCTGAGGCAGGCTGTCTCTGCCTGCCTGGCCCTCGCACTATTTCTGGAAGCAGCCAGCTGCCTGAGTGCTGGCAGTCTCCACAGCCCTTGTAAGGGATGGAAGGGAAGCAGTTCTGTGCAGCCTCTGACTCCAGCTCAGTAAAAGCAGCTTCCATTGGCTGGGGACTGGCCAATAGGGGCAGCACCAGCAGGCTCCGGGGAGCAGTGCAGCATGTGAAGACCCCCTTTTTCTTTTCCCCTCCAGGGACTACAGACAGAGGGTGCCTGAACACAGCCAGCCAACATTTCCAGAAGCAGCATGGGGTGAGGCAGAGGCTGTTTGCTTGATCCCTACTGACCCAGAGCTGTTGGTGGTAAGTACTTCCCAGATGCAGTCTGCACCCCTACCTCCTGAGCCTGCACCCAAACACCCTCCCAGAGCTCACAGTACTCACCCTGTCCTGCACTGAAAACTGGCCCAGCCTAGAGCCCCTTGTGTACTGAAACTTCCACTCAAAGCGTTGGGGTGCAGGAGGAAGTGAGGGGTATAGGTTCCGGGAGCAAGTTTAGGTGCAGGAGGATGTGCCAGGCTGGGGCAAACTCCCAAAGCTTGCACTCCTTGCTCCTGCACTCAAAACTCTGCCCCAGCCTGGAGTCTCATAGACTCACAGACTTTAAGGTCAGAAGGGACCATTATGATCATCTAGTCTGACCCCCTGCACAGTGCAGGCCACAGAATCTCACCCACCCACTCCTGGAATAATCCTCTCACCTACATCTCAGATATTGAAGTCCTCAAATGGTTTAAAGACCCCAAGATGCAGAGAATCCTCCAGCAGTGATCCTTCTCCTCCTGCGCCCAAATTCCCCAGAGCCTGTAACTCTCACCTCCTCCAGCACCCCTCCCTGCACACACCTCCTGCACACTCAGCCTCACTCATTCAAACAGTCCTCTGCCCAGAGCTCCTCCACATTGGCCAACCCTGACTCCTGCACCCCATACACCCTCCACCCCTACTCTTGAGTCCCTCCTCTAGCACCCAAGCAACACCGAGTAAGTATGCTAGTTCAAAATAAAGTAAACCTTATTAACTTGTCAGACGCTGGCATTTGTTACACAACCAGCCATACAGATGTATCAGGAGGATGCATATATTGACCAACATCACCCAGGGTACGTCGAACTAACGCATCTAGAACTAAAAACTAGTTCGAACTAGCGTTTTGCTAATTCAAACTAGCAAGTCCACATTGAGTGGACTCTGAACAGGGCTTAAGGATGGCCGGAAGCAGTGCCGGCAGGGCATAAAAGGAGGACTTAGAGCATGGAGATGCTGTCTCAGGCTAGCCGAGGGCTGCGCTTAAAGGGTCCCGACCCCCACCCCGGACACACAGTTCTAAGGGGTGCCCCGCTTGCAAAGAAGTTCTGGCTTGGAGTGCCCTGAGTGCCCACACTGGGCACATCACACCACTCGGCCATCAGCCCGGCTGCACTTGCCGCAGGCTGCCATCTGGGGAGAGGGAGTAATTGGGGGGCTGCAGGAGAGCTTCCACCCCCAGAAGCCCGCAGAGCCAGCCCAGTCCTCCCCATCGGGGGCTCATACCCCATTCCTCCCTCACCTCCTTCCACTTACCCTTCCCTAGCCCCCCTTCTTATTGATGTACAAAATAAAGATAACGTTTCTTCCAACATTGACTCTGTCTTTATTGAAAAAAAACTGGGGGAGACTGGGAAAAGGAGGTGGGAGAGGGGAAGAGAAAGGCTGGGAGAGGGGAGGGCAACTAACATGATCAGGGGTTGGGAACAGGTCCCAGATGAAGAAAGGCTACAGAGACTGGGACTGTTCAGCTTAGAAAAGAGGAGACGGAGGGGGGACAGGATAGAGGTCTCTAAAAGCAGGGGTTGGGTGGAGAGGGTGCATTCAGAAAAGTTCTTCCTGAGTTCCCATAAAGAAGGACTAGAGGACACCAAAGGAAAGGAATGGGTAGCAGGCTTGAAACTAGTAAGAGAAAGTTGTTCTTCTTGACAAAGCAAATAGTTAACCTGTGGAACTCCTTGCTGCAGGAGGCTGTGAAGGCTACAACTAGAACAGAGTTTAAAGGGAAGTGAGATCAAGTCATGGAGGTTGGGTCCATGGAGTCCTATTAGCCAGAGGGTAGGAGTGGTGTCCCTGCCCAAAGTTTGTGGAAGGCTGGAGAGGGATGGCACGAGACAAATGGCTTGGTCATTGTCTTCGGTCCATCCCCTCCAGGGTCCCTAGGGTTGGCCGCTGTTGGCAGACAGGCTACTGGGCTAGATGGACCTTTGGTCTGACCCAGGACGGCCATTGTAAGCTCAGGGCTCAGGGTCGGGGGTCTCAGTGGACCCCCTTGATTTTCATGCACACCTGGTCCTGGGTGGCCAGGCTGGCAGCTCTCCTGCCCTAGACGGCCACTTTCCTGTGCCTAGTGCAGAGATCGTGGACAAGGTCCATTATGTCTGCACTAGCCCAGCTGGGTGCTGGCAGGCTTGCACCTGGCACGGGCACCGTAGCCAGCCCGTGCCCCTTTAAGGGGTCCGGGGCCGGGAGGGGGGCATAGAGTTTCCCTGGTGTTGGCCAGAGTGGCCACCAGGGAAACCTGGGAAGCCTTAGCCTCCCACTAGTTCGAACTAAAGGGCTACACAGCCCTTAGTTCGAACTAGCTAGTTCGAACTAGGCGTTAGTCCTCGTAAAATGAGGTTTACCTAGTTCGAACTAAGCGCTCCGCTAGTTCGATTCAAATTCGAACTAGCGGAGCGCTAGTGTAGCACCTATTAAAGTTAGTTCAAACTAACGTCCGTTAGTTCGAACTAACTTTGTAGTGTAGACATACCCCCAGAGAATTAGAGGTGTGCAGTATTTTAAAATGGTATATGAATACAGCTGTTGTGGACCAAAGGCTTGTAAGCATATAACATCTTTGGTGCATTTCTTAGTAGCAATGTGAATGACATTGTAGGAATTATTGTCAGCAGAGCCAAAATCATTTTCATGATTATCACCAATGCTACTATTAAAAAGAAGCAGGATGATACCTTTTAAAAGCTATTTCTCCTTTTGACATACACTTTATTTGAATACAGCAAAATTGATCCAGTTTGTGATTGAAGTCACTTATCTGAGATCACAGAGAATACAGGTGACATCTTGGCCTCATTGAAGTCAATGGTAGTTCTGTCACTGATCTTAGTGGAGCCAGGATTTCATGTTAGGTTAGTGTGTATGAAGAGCATCTCAAACCACTTCCTGTCAGATGACTTCAAGAGGATGCATGGGATAGAACACTTCACATTCTGTGCATGCAGGCGTAGGGATGTGCTCATAGGAATAGTATACGAATTGAAGCAGTTTGGAGAGCAGCAGTGCAGAGGACAACAAGAACAAAAGTGGGACTGGAGACAGCATCATGATCTTATCTTTCCTTGGGTGGAGCAGGAAAAGCATTTAGTTAGATAAATATGAACAGATCTAATAATTATGACTTAAACAGGAAAAAAGGGTAAAAAGCAAACAACGCTTCTTACTTCACACACATGATCTTAGTTCTAGTCTCCTTTACCTTTCTACAGCAGACACATAAAAAGAGGTTCCCCCATAAAAAAGAGGAACCTGTCTAGCTATGTAGGTCTGAATATGGCTCCCATCAATATAGTATCCTCCTTGAAGAGCTGCACATCCAACCTGTGTCCAGACATTGTTGCTGCTTCTTCAATAATATCTCTAAGATCCTGTTTTTCCTCTCTGTTCACATTAGTAAAACTACTAAGTAAGTTCTCTCTTATCTCTCACCTTGATTACTACAACAAAAACAGGACTATGTAGCACTTTAAAGACTAACAAGATGGTTTATTAGGTGATGAGCTTTCATGGGCCAGACCCACTTCCTCAGATCAAATAGTGGAAAAAAATTGTCACAACAGTATATACCAAAGGGTACAATTTAAAAAAATGAACACATATGAAAAGGACAAATCAGAGTTCAGAACAGAAGGGAGTTGGGGGGAGAGGTAAATGTCTGTGAGGTAATGATATTAGAGGTGGTAATTGGGGAAGCTATCTTTGTAATGGGTAAGATAATTAGAGTCTTTATTCAAACTTACGTGTAAAGCGTCGAATTTAAGCATGAATGATCGTTCAGAGGATTCCCTTTGAAGTGTAGTCTTAAAAGGCCTTTGAAGCAGGATGCAGGTAATCAAGTCATTGAGACAATGTCCTTGCTGGTTGAAATGGCAAGAAACTGTTTTTTCTTTGTGATCCTGTCTGATATCTGTTTTGTGGGCATTGATCCTTTGGCGAAGTGTCTGAGACGTTTGTCCAATGTACATAGCAGACGGACTGATTACTACAGTCTCCCCCCTCTGACCTTCTTGACACTTATTTTGCTCCCCTTATTCAAGATACCCCTGGTAAGATCATCTTCCTGGTCCTTCAGACTATGTCACTTCCATTTCCATCCTTTCACTGATTCCCTCTCTGACACTCCATCGAGGTTCTGTTCCTCACTTTTAAGGCTCATCACAACTCCACTTCTTCTTTTTCCACTGTCAGGCAGTCCAGGGCTTTATAAAGGAGTAAGTCATCGACCAGGGAGCTTGTGAACAGGTGATTGTAAACAGGGAGTTTAGAGAGGGAGTTCTCCAGGTAAGGGAGAAGTGACTACAGGACTCTTGAGGGAAGTGGCTGTCTGTAGTGTGTGGTTGTGTTTGGGGCTTTCTTGCTGTGTGCTGAGTTTGTGTTTGTGAGTGTGGTGTGTGTGTGTGTGTGTTTGTTTTTCTTTCTCTGCTCTCCCCCCGCCCATGGAATGTGTGGTGTGACTGGCAGCTGGAAACTATTGGCTTCTAATTAAAGTTTGAAATCGAATTTAAGGCTCATCACAACTCCACTTCTTCTTTTTCCACTGTCAGGCAGTCCAGGGCTTTATAAAGGAGTGAGTCAGCGACCAGGTGATTGCAAACAGGGAGGTTAGAGAGGGAGTTTGGAAAGGGAGAGGCAAGGTACTCTTGCCTTTCCTTTAAACCCTTTTTTAAGACAGCAGGTATGGACAGTGATAGGTTGGCTGTAGTTACCTGCACAGCATGTGCTGTGTTTGTCTTCCTTCTGGAAGAAAGTGCAGATGAAATCCCTTATAAGTGCAAGCTGGTCGCCACTTTGGAGGAAAAAAATCAGAGGACTGGAGGCCCAAGTGTCGACCTTCTGCTCGATTAGAGAGGATGAAGACTTCCTCAATAGAAGGCAGTGTTTAATTCTGCAAGCAAGGCAGGTGGAAAAGCCAGAGAGGGCAGTACAGGACGAGGAAGAGACCAAAACCCTGAGGGAAGTGAGGAAGTCAGATACTGGGAAGAAATGCAAAGAGGAACGAGCAAAAAAGGAGGACCCCTGATTCGAATGGAGAGGGTATGGTGATCAACTGGTTATCTAAGGTGTTTGTACACCAATGTGAGAATCCTCGGTAACAAAAAAGAAGAATTGGAGGCCCTGGCCCAGTCCAAGAACTACGATTTGATTGGGATAACAGACTTGGTAGGATGACTCGCATGACAGGCACGCTGTCATGGAAGGATATAAACTGTTCAGAAAGAACAGGTGGAAAGGAGGAGGAGTTGCACGGTATGTAAGAGAGCACTATGATTGCTCAGACTTCCAGAATATAGAGGGAGAAAAGCCCGTTGAGAGTCTAAGGGTCAAGCTTAGAGGTGGAAAAACAGCAGTGATGTTGTGGTTGGTGTCTGCTACAGGCCGCCGAATCAGATAGATGAAGTAGATGAGGCTTTCTTCAGACAACTGAGAGAAGTTGCCAGATCACAGGCCCTGGTTCTCATAGGGGACTTTAATCAACCTGACATCTGTTGGGAGACCAATACAGCAGTACACAATTCAGGAAGTTTTTAAAGAATGTTGGGGATAACTGCTTGGTACAAGTGCTGAAGGATCCAACCAGGGGCTGTGCGCAGCTTAACCTGCTGCTCTCAACAGGGAGGAACTAACAGGGGAAGTAGAGGTGGGTGACAACCTGGGAAGCAGTGATCATGAGATGGTAGATTTCGGGATCTTCTCCTGGGCTCCTTTCCCCTTCATGTTAGCATCCCAGGGGATTCTGCCCATCAGGTCTCTGAGGGTATGTCTACACTGCCACCCTCGTTCGAACTAGAGTGGCTAATGTAGGCATTCGAAGTTGCAAATGAAGCCCGGGATTTAAATATCCCGGGCTTCATTTGCATCTTGCTGGGCGCTGCCATTTTTAAATCCCTGTTAGTGCGGACTCTGTGCCCGCGGCTACATGCGACACGGAGTAGGTAGTTCAAATTAGGCTCTTTAATTCACACTACCATTACTCCTCGTGGAACGGGCTTCATTTGCAAATCATTTAAATCCTGGGCTTCATTTGCAACTTCGAATGCCTACATTAGCCACTCTAGTTCGAACGAGGGTGGCAGTGTAGACATACCCTCAGAGACCTGATGGGCAGAATCCCCTGGGATGCTAACATGAAGGGGAAAGGAGCCCAGGAGAGCTGACAGTATTTTAAAGGAGCCTTATTGAAGATGCAGAGAGAAACCATTACAATGCATAGCAAGAGAAGCTAATATGGTAGGAGACCGGATTGGCTTACCGGGGAAATCCTTGGTGAATTTATGCACAAAAAGGGAGCTTACAAAAAGTGGAAACTTGCACAGATTACTAGGGAGGGTATAAATGTATAGCTCGAGAATGCAGGGGAGTTATCAGAAAGGCAAAAGCGCAATTGGAATTGTGACTCGCAAGGGATGTGAAGGATAACAAGAAAGGTTTCTACAGGCACGTTAGCAAGAAGAAAGTGATCAGACAGGGTGCGGGGCCCCTACTGGATGAGGGCGGTAACCTAGTGACAGATGAAGTGGGGATAGCTAATGTACTTAATGCTTTCTTTGTATCTGTCTTCACGGACAAGGTCAGCTCTCAGACTAATGCGCTAAGTGACACAATATGGGACAAAGGTGGACAGCCCGTGCTGGGGAAAGAACACATTAGGAACTGTTAAAAAAAAGCTAAACATACATAAATCCATGGTTCCGGACTTAATACATCTGAGGGTACTGAGGGAGTTGGCAAATGTCATTGAGGAGCCTTTGGCCATTATCTTTGAAAAGTTGTGGAGATTGGGAGACATCCCGGATGATTGGAAAAAGGCAAATGTAGTGCCCATATTTAAGAAAGGGAAGAAGGATGATCCAGGGAACTATAGGCTGGTCAGTTTTACCTCAGTCCCTGGAAAAATCATGGAAGGGATCCTCAAGGAATCCATTTTGAAGCACTTGGAAGAGGGGAAGGTGATCAGGAATAGTCAGCATGGATTCATGAAGGGCAAGTCGTGCTTGACCAATCTGATTAGCTTCTATGATGAGGTAACTGGCTCTGTGGATATGGGAAAATCAGTGGATGTGATATACCTTGACTTTAGCAAGGCTTTTGATATGGTCTCCTACAATATTCTTGCCAGCATGTTAAGGGAATGTGGATTGGATAAATTATTGGTAACATGGATAGAAAGCTGGCTGGAAGGTCGGGCCCAGCGGGTAGTGATCAATGGCGCGATGTCAGGCTGGTAGTCAGTTTTTGCGGAGTGCCCAAAGGTTCTGTTCTGGGACCGGTTTTGTTCAACATCTTTATTAATGACCTGAATGAGGGGATGGATTGCACCCTTAGCAAGCTTGCGGATGACTCTAAGCTAGGGGGAGAGGTCGATACGCTGGAGGACAGGGATAGAGTCCAGAGTGACTTAGACAAATTGGAGGATTGGGCCACAATAAATCTGATGAGGTTCAACAAGGACAAGTGTAGAGTCCTGCACTTGGGACAGAAGAATCCCAAGCATTGTTACAGGCTGGGGACCAACTGGCTAAGTAGCAGTTCTGCAGAAAAGGACCTGGGGATTACAGTGGATGAGAAGCTGGATATGAGTCAACAGTGTGCCCCTGTAGCCAAGAAGGCTAATGGAATATTAGGTTGCATTAAGAGGAGCATTGCCAGTGGATCCCGAGATGTGATTATTCCTCTTTATTCGGCTCTGCTGAGGCCACATCTGGAGTATTGTGTCCAGTTCAGGGCCCCCAATTACAGGAAGGATGTGGATGCATTGGAGAGATTCCAGAGAAGGGTGACCAAAATGATTAGGGGGCTGGAGCATATGACCTACGAGGAGAGGCTGAGGGAGTTGGGTCTATTTAGTGTGCAGAAGAGAAGAGTGAGGAGGAATTTGATAGCAGCCTTCAACTTCTGTAAGGGAGGTTCCAGACAGGCTGGAGAAAGGCTGTTCACAGTAGTGATGGATGGCAGAACAAGGAACAATGGTCTCACGTTGCGGTGGGAGAAGTCCAGGTTGGATATTAGGAAAAAGAGAGTGGTGAAGCACTGGAATGGGTTACCTAGAGAAGTAGTGGAGTCTCCACCCCTAGAGGTATTTAAGTGTCGGCTTGACAAAGCCCTGACTGGGTTGATTTAATTGGGATTGGTCCTGCCTTGGGTAGGGGGCTGGACTTGATGGCCTTCTGAGGTCTCTTCCAGCTCTATGGTTCTATGATTCTATAATATCAGACCGTGAAAAACTTTTATACTTATTGTGATGCCATTGCACATTTTTGATCATTCACTATTCACATTTTTGATCAGCACTATAACTCTGAAACACTATACTGATCCAGGAATATTGTGTAGCTTCATCTGTAACAAACATATTTTTAGTTTACAGTCTCCATTTTTCATAATTTTTTAATAGGTAATTGTGGAAGTACGCATGAGTTTGGAATCTGACCCTTATACTGTTGCAATAAGTATTTACTTCATGTTTAGGTATAGCCATAGATTATTGTTGCTGTTAATCAAAAAAGAACAATTGTGTTTTGGCAAATTGTAATAAAAATTGAATCCTTGCATGCTTCTTTGTTCACCAAATCTATACTCTGATATTTATCTCAGAAAACTGTGTGCATTGCCCAGGCCTGCTGACAGTGAGGGGATGAAGAGGACGACTGCTCCAGGACCCAGTGATTCAAAAGGGCCCGTGACTCCTGGTCAGCAGCAGCAGTGATGGCTGGAGCCCCAGGACCTTTACAGCTATGCCAGAGTTGTAGCAGGTGCATTCTGGGAGGCGTAGAGTGGCTGGCTGGAGGATGCTAGCTCCAGCTCCTCCCTGTTGTCTGAAGCACTGCCCCTTCCAAGAGCATGGAGCCACACCCTCCTGGCCTTCACTGTCAATTTTTTTTTATGAGAAAAAAATATTCACCAATATTTATAGCTCTGAGTGGTGTTACTAAAGCTGACTGGTAGCATTAGCAAAAGAATAATCAATGTTCAATGAAACTCAAGATTTTCATCAGTTAATGGGAAAGAATGTTGCTTGATGTAAACATATGCTTAATGCAGACTCTATTTCATAGCCCGTACAATTATGGTAACATTTACCTATCTTTCTACAGCATGTGCATAAGTGACTAAGGATACACTAAGTAAGTCCCATTTTAAAAACATGATATAAATTAGGAGGATCCTAAATCTCATTGGAGAATTTGGCTTGATTAGGTGCCTAGGTTCTTTTTGAAAATGGCTCCAAACTCATTTAGGTAGGTTCTCAGTTAGGTCAGATCCTCTCAGCCAGTATAAACTGATGAATCTTCATTGACTTTAGTTGACTTTGAAAAGATCACCTAATAATGTTCAGATTATTCCATCAGATATTAAACATAAAGTATAGCTGTTGAGACAATGGCTGTGTAATTGTGTAACTTTTGTTACATTTCTTTTGCTCGGTTTTTTGAAATTTGGTGCACAGTGGTTAGAAATGAAGAAATGCTTCAAGTTTCTTGGAGAAACAAATGTATTATGCTTGATCCTCCAAGAGGAACTGCCATAATAAGCACCTTTCTCTCCCGTGTGCTATTCATTGCCCACAGGCTCTTCAGTCCATATCCCTGTGCAGAAGCTTCATGCCTCTGCCATAGCTTGAGAAACCATTGTGGAAGGAGCAAAGAACAACAGCTAGGGAAGAAGGCTGAGTGTGATTTTCATCTGTGCAAGCATAGAAGATCTTCTGGAAGCATGAAACGAGGGTTGTGATTGCACAGATCTACCCTAAGTTTGAGTAGGATAAAAATGTGACACACAACTCTAGCTGGGCCACTATAGTTTCGGTGAAAATTAATTAGATCATTTTTTTCATAGATTAGTGAGATGATTAGTGTAATTTCAGTTAAATAATTATAGCAACACCTAATTAAAACAAGGCAAAGGAAAGAAATGTATATAGGGGAAAGATGGTTAAAAAACAACTCAAGAAACAAAAATATGCAGGGACAGAAAGAGCTACATTTCTTTTGTGCCTCATATCTTTCCATTCATGTGTACAACAGGTTCTTCAGAATAGCAGATGAATTCCCAGGTAAATCTCTGTAGCATCAGGACCTAATGAGGTACATTCATCACATCACTTTGTGTTAATGGTCACTCCTTAAAGAAATATTAAGAACAGTACCTCATTTTTGTTGATTCTGTTTTGAGTGAGAGTGTCTGAGAGGTGAACTAATTTGCCTAAAGTCACATGGTAGGTCTATGCCAGAATTGGAAATAGAACCTAGATTTCTTGACTCTGCCCTAGTCACAATACCTTAAACATTTCTGCATAAAACTAACTAGGCTTTTCTGAGTTGGATTACCACACTGAATAATTAAGTAGAGTACAGGTAAGTACTCTGTGAGCAGTTAGGTACCACAGTGAACCTTAGAAAAATAAGATTAGCTAGATAAAATAGAAAAGCAGAAAGACCTCAACACACACACATACTCATTCTCTCACAAGTGGAAACATCTCCAAACTCCACATATCTTGTTGTATCCTTCATGGAAGGTAAATTATAACCTAGGTTGCTCTGTCAAAATAAATCAAGCTGTTGATTTACCCCAGATGAGTTCTCTATCCCATGAGTCTACAGTCCTGACCCCATCTTGCAAGCACACACTGGTAAGTCTGCTTTATCTAGCTTAGCCACAAGCCTCTAACTGATTCCTCTTCTGAAAGAAATAAGTGAAAGAGCAACATAGCTACCCTTTGGAGAGTTTCAGATAATAGCATAGCGGTTCTTGATAATCTTTATTTCATGAACTAGACAAAAAGAACACATTTAATATAAACAAGGCTGCTCTTGGTATTAGGCTCAAGAGACAACACTAGCCAGCAGAGTAAGTGCTCAGCTGGAAAATCCTTCAGATCCTCTTGATTTGCCTACAACTGGAGCACCACAGGCCTATCAAATTTTAAAGCCTATTTGTTAGGTTTTACATTGATCTTTTGTAAGTGTGGATTTTATATTAATATTTTAAGAGTATTCAGAAATGTGGGTGTCAGTTTAAATGATTTTATTTTTAATATCTCTTTGATTTTATAACAAGGGCCAGACAATTTCTAAGTCCCTGCATAAGTGCAGGGTAATTGCTGCTGCTTCATAATGACAGATGCATTTTTTTATAACTAACCAGTACAAACAAGGGTTTGACAGGTGTCCTTGTGTTGGGGGGGGGGAGGGGGGAGTGGAGAGTACAAGTGGGACAAAGGAAGCCTGCTAGGAAGAGAGAAGTTTGAGGAGAGAAAAACCTAGGCCAAGGTACAGAACTTGCTGTAACTATCTGCCACCAATACAAATGAACCCTAGAAAGGATTTGGATTACCCTCTCTTCAGAGCAGAATGGGAAATCCACCTTCCACAAGCTCATTTTGTCCCAACTAAATTTCTTTTGAAACTAGAGCATAGTAAGTTTCATTGTGGTGAATTGGGGGGCTGCAGTTGTAGAGGAGATCTATCTACTTCCTCTCAAAATATGTTAGATTAAAAGCTCTAGTTCAGAGGTGGGCAATCATTTTTTATGGGAGAGGGGGGCACTGCAAGAATTTGGTAAGTGGCCACACTCTTCCATGATATTAATGGAGGAGGTGTAGGTTTGAGATGGAGGTTAGGTGCAGAAGGCAACTTGGGATAAAGGACTAGAGTGCAGGAGGGGGTGTGGGATCTGGGAGTTTGGATGAAAGAGGGGGGTGTGACCTAGGGCAGGGGGCTGTGGTGAATGAGGAGGTGCAGGTCGAGATGGGGGTATGAGTTCAGGAGAGGATTCTGACCTGGAGGAGGAGTGAAGGATCTGGGAGGGGGTTGTGACCTGGGCCAGGAGTGCAGAAGGGGTTGCTGGGCCTGGGAGGTGGTTGTAACCTGGGACAGGAGGGCAGGAGTGGGTATTACTACAACATCCTGGTGGAGAAAATAATTCACAAGGTGCTATAGGCACAAGATTAACATCCAAACCCAGAGCAAAGAGCTCTAACAGTTTTCTGAGGCAGTGGAGCAGTTTTTGCCTCTACAAAGCAACAAAAAATTATCCTGATGTGGGAGGAGAGATGTGGTAAGCCATAAAAAGGCCCATAGAGAGCTCTTGAAAGCATTTAGTTTAAATAGATGCTAAAGCTGGACTTTAGGCAGAAGATTTTGAGAGAGGATTTGCATGCGGGTAAAAGAAAATCTCCTACAAAGGATTTTAATACCATGAATGATCTTAAGCTCTTTAAAGCAAACAAAAAGACTACATCTACACTACAGGGTTTTTTTTGCAAGAACAGCCGTTCTTGTGCAAAAACTTGCAGAGAATCTACACTGCATGCACATTCTTGCGCAAGTAAATTTACAGTAAAGCGTCAGAAAGAGGGCTTCTTGCGCAAGAGTTATTCCTCTCCCCACAAGGAATAAGCCCTCTTGTGCAACAGGGTTTTCTTGCGCAAGAAATCCCTATGGCTAAAATGGCCATCAGAGCTTTCTTGCGCAAGAGAGGGTCCACACTGCTTTGAATACTCTTGCGCAAAAGCACATGGCAGTGTGAACGTGTTCTTCCCAAGACTTTGGCACAAGAACTCTTGTGCAAAACAGTTCTTGCACAAAAAGCCTGCAGCGTTGATATAGCCAAAAAGTATTGTTTCTTACTCTTATTAATATAGATCTCTGAATGTTATATTTCAGTTGGAGAATTGGATTCAGAATAAATCACTTAAATAAATCATTTAAATAGGCCAAAATAGGAAGGAAGAAAAACAAACTGAATAGGACTCTTCATTGTTGCCAATAATGGAGAGAATGGTTTGGAGTAATCACTTATTGTTACACATCGAGAGCTCCATGTTAAGTCAACAGAGAAAAGAAGGAATTTTTTTTGTTGTACTATAGGTGCTCCTTGTAAAGATACCGTTATTTGCCATTATAAATCTGCATACAAAGTTGACAGTTGTATACTCATATTTTCTATTATATTACCATTATTATTATACTGGAGTATGACAGAATGACATAACTAAGCACTGTAGATATGCCTTTATTTATTCAAATAGAAAATAAAGGAAATGTTAATTACCTGAAAGAATATGAAGGGTGCTAGTGCCAACAAAATGAGAAGTATTTAGGGTTGTCCAAAGGAATGTAACTAAGAATAAAGGACTGAACATAAGAAAATCACAGTTTAGGCTGAATGGAGGAGACTTATTTCAGTTCCATTACTCAGGAGAATCTTCATTAATTTCAATGAGGTTTGCTCTGTATAGAACTGAGATCAGAATGCTGGACAATACCACAGGAAAAAATTATAACTCAGAGATCTGTGTCTGTAGACTATATCCCCAAAGGAAAAAGAGGAGATACTTAAATTAGACTAGAAAATATACTGAACATAAATACCACATCAAGATATAATGCATAATGATATAACAGATGAGTCAGTAGGCCTTTTCCATCCCTAATTTCTACATACAAATTGTATGTAGTGTTTGTTGCATGCTGTAGAAAGTATAAATCTAACTAAATTACTACATGTAGTTCTCCAGATGGAGATGGAAATTGCAATGAGTGAACTATCATGATTGCTCAGGGATTTAGTGGCTTTATTCTTTCATGTCTTTACTTAATGTATTATTAAGATTATAATAATTGTATTTTATCATTCTAACATCCAGTCTGTGAAGATGAAGCAACTATTTCCTCCCAAGCATTTAGTATTGGGATACAAGAAGGTGATCAGTGAAAATGTGACTACAAGAAACAAAGAGAGGAAAAGAACAACTAGTGAAGGAGAAACAGAATTTAGGTACAGGATTGTTGAGTTGGAAAAATGAAGAAGGGACCCAGCATATAGATACAGAAGATGGGAAGGCAAGGAAGAAGAGTGGCTACTGCTACAGGAATATGGGAAGAATAAATGAAGATGGACAGAATTTGAAAGCTAGAGGATGACTTGCAGAATCTTGCAAGAGAAAACATTACGGTTGTATCTAGACTGGCAAGTTTTTCCGCAAAATCATCTGCTTTTGAGGAAAAACTTGCCAGCTGTCTACACTGGCCACTTGAATTTCCGCAAAAGCACTGACGATCTCATGTAAGATTGTCAGTGCATTTGCGGAAATACTACGCTGCTCCCATTCGGGCAAAAGTCTTTTTCTGAAAGACTTTTGTGCAAAAGGGCCAGTGTAGACAGCACAGTACTGTTTTCCGCAAAAAAAGCCCCGACCGCGAAAATGGCGATCGCGACTTTTTTGCGGAAAACCGCATCTAGATTGGCCATGGACTTATCTAGACGCGCTTTTCCGAAAATGCTTTTAACGGAAAACGTTTCCGTTAAAAGCTTTTCCGGAGAATCATGCCAGTGTAGACGTAGCCTACTTGAGTATCTCCCAACAATCTTTCTATAGTTCCTTGTTAAAGCTCTTTTAATTAGCTGTCCACAATCTAGCATAGTCTCCCATGGTGCACTCCAGCACTTCTCTTTCACATGGGAACAAATGATACTACTAGGTCCTTGCTGGAGGGCAACAAAGGAGACTATGCTAGGTTGTGGAAGATGCTGAAAGAAATGATGGCTCAGGTGGTCTTCACTGGATTCTGCCTGTCCCTAAAGGAGGAAAGTAAGGGAGGCAAGAGTGTGCTGATCTACAGATGGTTAAGGCAGTGAGGCTATAAGAAGGGTTTGGAGATGTTTGACCACTGGGAGGCATTGATGGGCAGAGTACTGTTATCATGGGATAGACTCCAACTGAGTAGGGAAGGACACAAATTTCTGCTATGCAGGTTGGCACAACTGATTAAAAGAGCTTTAACAAGGAACTAGGGGGAAGCTATTGGTAGATGCTCAAGTAATCTCCATACCTGTCTCTAATATTGAGCAGAAAGAAAATAAAGGAACAGCAGTGGACAGGAGAATGGACATTAAAAGGGATCAAGCCCAGCTCTCCCCCCTCCGATAGCTAGGGAGGGGATTGGGCTGGACTGCGGCTGGGGGCTGGGCTGGGCGGGGCTGAAGCTAGCCCCGCTTGCTCCCTCCAGCCACCGGAGGGGTTGAGACAGACCAAGACTGGCCCAGCTCTCTCCCTCTGGCTGCTGGGGAGACTGGGCCCAGTCAAGGTTGTGGCTGGCCTGGATCTCTCCCTCTGGCCACTGGGGAGCTGGACCTGGCTCTCTACATCTGGCAGGGAGGGGAAAGGGTGTGTTGCTCCCAGCCCTTTTCCTCTGGCCGCAAGCGGGGAGGCTGAGTGGAGTGGAAAGGCTATGCAGCTGTGGTTCCCGCCCCCCCCCAAGGAGGAGGGAGGCTGCATAGCCCCCACTTTCTTGGGAGGGGATGAAGCCATGCAGCTCCTGTGTGCCCCTCTCTCCCCAGAGCATGGGATGCTGCATGTGTCCTGTGCACACCCCTTCCCACGACCAAGCACTGGCAAGGCTGCGAGGCTGCTGCACTTTCCCTCCCCCCGAGTCCCTGCAAGGCTGTGCAGCTCCCGCGCGTGCTCCCTCCCCCCACCTGAGCCTCCTCAAGGCTATGTGGCTCCTGCCCAAGAGCAGCTGAATTTAAACTCTGGCAGC